GAAAAGCGGAGACATGCTGGAGATGATCTTGTCAAGTGAAAAGGGCAGATTGCCAGAGAGAATAACAAAGTTTTTAATTACTCAGGTAAGAAATTAATTATAGACCTAGGAGGAGATTTGGGGTTACTTATTCTCACTGTTTCTTACGTTTTGATTTTGACGTCATTTACCTGTCTGGTTCATGCGAGCCTGAGTTGTAATATGAAGGGAGACATGCTGGAGATGATCTTGTCAAGTGAAAAGGGCAGATTGCCAGAGAGAATAACAAAGTTTTTAATTACTCAGGTAAGAAATTAATTATAGACCTAGGAGGAGATTTGGGGTTACTTATTCTCACTGTTTCTTACGTTTTGATTTTGACGTCATTTACCTGTCTGGTTCATGCGAGCCTGAGTTGTAATATGAAGGATGTTAAGACAGCTTACTGTCCGTTATCTGATAGTAAGCCATTTGGAGGACCTAGAACTAGGCACATGTACAGCTGTTGCCTGCCGGATGGAAGGGACATCCAGATACAGTTTCTCATATACTGGAAGAATTAAGCACAAGAAAGGGGTGGAATGCACTAAGAGCAAACTGCGAAGAACTACGCAAAGAAATTTGAGCCTCTCAAACTGCCCCATACCTAACCAGTGCAGTTCATGCTATGCACTGTTGTATGTATTTTCTGTGCTTGGATCTCAGTGCTACCTCTGATGAAATGAGACTGCCTTCCTCTGTGACTTTTGTTAACAATTTGGTGTGGGCTTTTTGGGGGGACTTCCTGTTACCATATTATCATATTGCGTCTTTGGCTGCCCATAATACTGGTTTAAATCTAGATACACTATTGAGTAGTAACCCACCCCAGAGTGAGAGCAGCCTGTGTTTCAGCATGCAGGAAAAAGAAAGAAGCAGGAACAACACTGTTTATTATTATAAGTTTATTATTTGGGGTAAAATGTAACTGGTCCCTTAGTATCCAGGCTTTCATAGGCAAAACTGCCACCAGCTTTAGAATTTGTTTTCTTATATTCCCAGGCTCATTCAACCTCCTCACCAGTCCCTGCCCTAATATAGTGGCAGATTCTGCCAGCTCTTGACCAAACACAAGGAATGAATTTAGTCACAAAAAAAATGGATATCTGTTGCACTCTGTTACCATATTCTTGTGTATGTAACAGAACAGAAATACATACAATGCTGCTTCTGCTTTCTCTTGTCAAGGAAACGCTTAAATTAGATTCTGTAATATTTCTGTGACATATTTTTCATTGAATTTAGAACTGGGAGATGCACATGTTTCTACATCTGAAGGTTTTGTGCACAAAAAAAAGTAAACAAATACTTAGAACTCTGTTTAAAAAAAGGTTTATAATGTATACTCTTTGGAGAGGGAAAAGTCATATTCCATGCAGTGAAACATCAGGAAAACTTGAGGCACAGCAAATAATAGCTGACGTTTTACTTTTGTTGGTTGGGGTTTTCTTCATTGTTGACAATCTTGGAAAAGATTAATTCTTTTTCTTCGCAACAGTCCTTGCTTCTCTGCTCACTGATATTGTTTGAACAATATCAAAACAAACAAACATAATTTGATTTGTTTATCCACAGATCCTTGTTGCTTTAAGACATCTTCATTTCAAAAATATTGTTCATTGTGACCTCAAACCAGAAAATGTGTTATTGGCATCAGCTGATCCTTTCCCACAGGCAAGTAGAAAATGTCCTTTCTTAAGACTGTTCAAATTAATAAGTGTTAGCAATATATATTTTGTGTATGAACAAAGAAGTGATTAGTGACCTGTCTATATCTACTCCAGGAACTACACAGAGCTTTTTTATAAGGTCACTAATCCAAAACACTTTACAAAGAAAAACAGGTTGCCTTTTGTCACTTGCCTAAAATATTCAAGTAGGTTTTCAAGTGCGACATAGCTAATTGTGTGATTGTTTCTAATTTGCTCACCATTATAGCACAAGTTATGTAGCTGGTTTATTTGCTCCAGAAAGAAGGTTATTTTTCTGAAAGTTAGGGTAGAATTCATGAAGAACAAGAGCTTCTTCTTTAATTTTATGAATTGAAATGCCAGGTGGATTGCAGGATATTCAAATATATGTTCTGACTGGTTGTATTTGTCATTAAAAAGTATTTTTATTAGCTTCTGCTAGCTTTGATCTGTGGAGTTCATCTGTAATTGACTCCAACTGCCTATATTCAAAATTACCAGTATTGATGAATTTTAAATGTTATCGTTATCAATAAGAGAAGGATCTATACTGATTTGTTAAGTGAGAATCTTCAAGCAACTAAATCTGTTCCTCTGTAGAACACAGACAAGGAAGTTTGCAGAGAGGCAGAGTGCAACTAGGTCCACAGTAAAATAAAAGTGGGAGTTTAAGAACTAAATTTTGTCAATTTACTTGGTTAAGGAAAAAGCCACAGGTAAAACAGTTTTTCTGTTTGCTATGTTCTTATGCTGTGAATGAATAAGTATTACTTTATATTACTGCTTTAACCAGGAACCTGAGCTGTTAGGCCTGTCCAAAACTCTGCTGTCTTAACAGAGTGAAGGAATAGATGACATGCAATGAACTGGTATTCTGGTCTAATGTCTCAGTTGAATAAGAGTATTCCTCTCAAAAAGGAGTTAAAAAAAATGTATCCCTGAAGGAACAGTAGAGATGCATCTTGCAACTAAACCCTGAGGAAAGTCCCTCAACTATGTATTTGATAATAAAAATAATGTCTGTCTCACTATAGCATTTTCCATTAAACAGGTAAAACTTTGTGATTTTGGCTTTGCCCGTATCATTGGAGAGAAATCATTTAGGCGGTCAGTTGTAGGAACACCAGCCTACCTTGCTCCAGAGGTGCTGAGAAACAAAGGCTATAACAGATCTCTGGATATGTGGTCTGTGGGTGTCATCATTTATGTAAGCCTCAGTGGTACCTTTCCATTCAACGAAGATGAAGACATACATGACCAGATCCAGAATGCTGCTTTCATGTATCCACCTAATCCATGGAAAGAAATTTCTCATGAAGGTAATACCTGTTTGTGGCTGATTTTATGTACATGCTAAAAAAGAGTACTTGTGTTTTGCTTTTATATTTTTTCCTGTACAAACCAGTGGGAAAAAAAATTACGAAATTTCAAGTTACCATAATGTAATGTCTGTTTTGTGCTATCAGCTGCTTTAATCATTTCCCACGGAGCATGTATAGACTGCATATGGCATAATCCTCTAGCGTGGGACCTCTCTAGGAGGTGTTGAAGGAGGCTCATAACCACCTACAGATCAGATTGTTATAGAATCTGTGGGGAACCATAGCTGCTGGAATTGTTGTTGCATATACTTGCTTATGTACTTCTTCGTTCAGGTCTTCTTTCAGTAATTTAGTTTTGGTTCAGTAGAATGCTGTACCCTGGTAGTCTTTCTGTGGAGAAAATAAAACTGAACAATTCAAAGTAGATGTGGTTTCAGGAACGTTGTGAGAAAATGTCATAGAAGAAACTTTCTGCAGGAAGAAAACTTGGAGATAACCAATGAGACTTTTGAAACTCAAGTTCTGGTCAATGGCATCAAAGACTCTTGATAAAAAAACTAAAGAACAGTGTGACTAGTTCGCTAGGAACATCTTTAAAGAAGGTAAATGAATTCTATTACAGATGTCTCTAAACATGACAAAGTAGACCATTTAACAAAATTCTGAGTTCTGGTATCACCAACATTTTTTGGCAGCTTGATTTTCTTCGGGATTTTTTTTTAAATTGCATAGCTTTTTGTCCATAATTTTTGCAGGTATGCTTCATAAGTCTTAAAGCAAAGGAAACATAAACATCAGTTTTTTTAGATCTTTTTCTGAATTGTAATATGTGCCAAATTGAATTACAAGACTAGCATTTACAATTTCTGGTATTTACCATACAGTTTTTCTGGTTTTCAGATGACATGTTTAACATACACATTAAGTGTAGTTTAGAGCAGTGTGCCTAATGCTTACTATAATATATCTTATAGCCATGTGAGATTCGCAGATGAAAAATGCTCTGAGAGCATTGTTTGTTATTTTATCTCTGTGGCAGATGAAGTTTGATGAAATCTGTTGGAGAGGGGGAAAAAAAAAGCTATAAATCTGCACAATTACACACTGAAGTTCTCCTGAACCTCCACACACTTTGATATGTAAGCTGACAGAATCTGTTGGCAGCAATGCTTTATCTGTCGCTAGAGATAAGCAAACAGCAATCAACACAGGGGAAGCTGCAAGAAATTGTCTCCCACAAGTTTCTACTGTGGTAGACAGAAGATCAATTTTTACATTCAAAGGTGAAGATTCAGTAGAGCACCTACAGAAAACTCACCTAGTAGGGTGTTACCTCTGCATTTATAGAATCACAGCCTTCATTAAGAGTTGATGGATAACAGACTGCAAGCGTGCAGAAGGGAGGGAAAAACCACTTTAACAAATTTCTAAGTTAAACTCTGCTTAGGCATAGTCATTTTATTACATAGCTTGAATTTCTAGCTGATGAACCACTCTGTTATGATAAAGTTATGCTGGAAAAAGTCTGAAGGGATTCCATTGTATTTAGCACAGGGAGTTGGAGTCTAGATCTTTTTCAAGTATTACTTGATAATGCTGATTTTTAGAACTCAAATTTGAACTCAAACTACAGATTAGCTAGGGAACATAAAGGAGTGTTTTTCTCACGTCATCAACTTTGGTCCACTCTCCTGCACAGCTTGCAAGAGGGCAGGAGCTGGGCCGTGTGCATCTGTGCCCTCTGTCCTAACACATCTAATCTGGATTGCAGTTCTGAACAGTGCCATGTTAATAAACAGTGCAAACAATTTAGACATTTAGGAGGGAAACACAGAAGATTTTAAAGGTTTTGTGACGTTGCTTCTCAACATTGTAAATAGCAACAATTTGAAAACGTGTATTTAAGTGTGAACTGTGGTAACATGAAACTCATTTCATGCTAAAAACACTGGAGCTCCTAAATTTCTCTTCTATAAATCTACAAAATTCAAACAGAGAATTAGTTTCAATCCCAGCAGGTGACATTTGTGTGCTTGAAAATCTTCCTTTTGCTTGTTGTAGGCTCTTCCAGCTTCCCAAACAGGTTTAGCTAATGAAGGGATTTTTCCCTGCCATATAATTCCTGTTTTCCTTTTTGCCAATTATTCTTAAACATTTTTCAACAGAAGTTTTAACATAAATGACTACAATTACTTGTGGTTTTTTTTTTTTTTAGTTTTCATATGAAAAGGTCAATAACAGATTTATTTTAAAGGCACAGTATATTTCTTGTTTAACTATTTCCTGGAAATTTGTATCATATCAATAACTCTCCCAAGAGGACAGGAATAATCATCTACTAGTTCTTCCACTCAAGTTTGTAAGGGAGTTACGTCACAGTGTGGAATGTGATGCTGCAGCAGAATCTGGCAAGGTCTTTGTAAATGAACATTTATCGGCCTCTTTCAATCTGATATGATTGAAATTTCTGTCTTGAAGTATCTACAGAGATATTTTCTGACAAAAAGCATTATTCTTTGTTTTAAGACAAAATTGTTTAAGTGATTTTTAACTTGTAAGAAAGAAAAAATGTTGAAGGTCCACCAGTTAATCCATTTTAATTATTGACATTTAAAAACTTAAGCTAATATTTAAGAGAATTTTAACATGTAACAACCACAGCATTCGCAGAAGGCTTCAACCAAAATATTGCTGCACAGCTATGATACTGAAAAATTGAAACCAAAATTGACTAGGCAGGTATCATTTTCGCAGACAAAACAAATGCAGATAAGAAAGATGTTTTTTAAGTGTTATGCTGTGTAAATTTGAGCCATTTGTCCAAAGGTTAGCATAAGTAAAGCTAATGTAAATGTTCTTTCTTTCTCCATTACTTACTGCTTTCATCTCATATGACCAAAAGAGTTCTGGGTCCAAGCACTCTTTAACAACGGACTCTATGAACTGTACATTACAGCTCGATTTTAAATCTACTAGCTTCATCCATAGACTATATTACATGTCTCAGTAATAGCAGGCAGAAACTGAGAATTCAGTGAACTTGGAAGAGCTAGGCTACCATCTAAGAGAATTTATAGTCTCTCTGACTTACGCATGCCAGTAGAAATACTCATGTACTCTGACCATATAAAATCCAATATATATGACTGTTTCTTCTTGTCTTACTGCTGAAGTATGTTAGTACTGGTTACTGTGAATGCTCGTATGATTACTCTAGAAACACTGTTGCAGAGAAGTGATCAGTAGTAGAAGGAACTACATTTGAGCTAAAAAAACCCCCAAGAGTGAAATGTTTATTCAAACCTTTTGCTGTCTATATCAAAAATCCTGCTTGAACTGCCAAGCAAGTTATGGTTCATAAAGACAGACACTTTAGAATGATAGATGGGAGGAATCGTTTACTTCACAACTGTATCAGGTTAGGATCACAAATGCAGCTGATATGCCTGAGCTAGCTGCTTCATAGACTGCAGGAACTAATTTTCTTGAAATTTTGTGTGTGTACTTTTAGTGGAACTATAAATGTTTCAAAAGGTGTGGGGGTTTTTTACCTTGTTAAATGGTTTTCAGTTTAGATTAAGAGAAATGATCATCAGCCAAGAATATTGCCAGTGTTATTGCAATCTTCTATTTTTATTGTCATCAGAGAGGAAAAATCACATATTTCTTTGCATTTAATGGATAATGCACAAATTAGAGTGAATGATGCTGTGTTTATCACCACTTTGGGTTTAGTGCTCACTAGATGCTTTTCCTAATAATTGCCAAGCAACTGCATGTAAATATGGGAGCTGGATGTCAGAGGGTAGCAAAACTTCTAAAGAAAAAAGTCCAAGGAGACAAGTCATAGCTAAACAATGTGTCTGGAAAAGTGACAATAGTGGTAAAGTACCCTATATGTTCCCATTCTGTGTTCCTGGTTCAATTATTGGTCTTAAGGTAAAATTGGCTTTTAAAATTTTAAACTGCACTGGTGAGACAACAGATTCATAAAAATACATGACCCATAACAGTTGAAACTGTTTGGTTATGTAAATAATACACTTAAAGTCTAACAGGTTGAGAGAAAAAGCATATGGAAAGAAGTTGTATCTTGGAGGAAAAGTGTGTCACAAATACACTATTGTGGTGCATGTTGGTTTATTTTCTTGTTAATTACTTTTTCTGCAGCATTTTCTAGTAATTCTTAAAATAAAAATCTGCAAGCCAAGAAAGAAGACAGAATCCATGCAAGGATATTCTTGAGTGCCTAATGCTTTTAAGTCACCATCAACAGTTCTGTCTTCTCTGCCACTCAGTAATATGGTCTAGTTCTTGACTATGAATCTTTTCTCACTGTAATGTGTCTGTATGATGTCATAACTTCTAGATT